TTATTATTATTATTATTATTATTATTATTATTATTATTATTATTATTATTATTATTATTAAATCTTTAATGAGATTCACATCCTTTGGGGCTGGTTGATAGCTCAACAGCTCGAGTCCTAACCAAGGACCTAGAAACTGTTTCAGGTAGCATTGGGATAACGCACAATTTCTTTTTTCCAAAGTCGCTCAACTTCAATTTGTAAGTCCCGATACGTTGTGATTTTTTTTTTCTTGCTGCGTGTCTTCAATCCGTGCATCACCAGGTATTGCAATGTCAATGAACCAAACCTTTTCCTTTCCAACTACTGTTATGTCAGGTATGTTGTGGGCCAAGTGCCTGTCAGTCTTGAATTCTGAAGTCCTACAATTTCTTGACTTTTTCATTCTCCAGAACCTTCTCAACCTGATGTTCCCAGAGGATGATGATGATGATAATTATTATTATTATTATTACAGAAAACTGAATGAAGGCCTGAAAAGGAATGCTCTCAGGTACCATCCATCTCTCTCCTTCTTTTAGCCTCTTGAAGAGCAGCTGATGACCCCAGACCTGCTTACCAAAGATGCCTTGGGTCCCGCCCTTCCCTGTAGCTGGATCGAGAGCCTTCCACATTAAGCTGTTCTCTTCCGCCTGCTTTGGGAAACCACGTTTCTTTCCAGAAAGTAGCTTTCCTTGGGAGAAACTCCTTAGAGAATCGCTCCAGGCATGCGAGGAGCCATAGATGGCACTTCCATCTAACCAGCCGGTCACCCCATTTACCTGTTGGAGAACAGAAAGGAAGATGGGATGGAGACAGTTAAGTCCTGTTCAGTCTATGACTGCTTGGATTGGATGAATTGATAAGACGTCTGAAGGTAGCAACTTCACACTGGATAGTCCAAGCTCAGTAAATTTGGACCTCATGTCTATGGAGATCCTCAATCCTCCAGGTCATGGTTATCCCAAAAATGCTTTTCCAAAAGGCAACTGTACTTTTTTGTTGTTGTTTTTCCCTTGAAAACCTTTGGCTTCTCATCCAAGAAGCTTCTTCGGTTCTAGAACTGAAGAAGCTTCTTGAATGAGAAGTGAAATGTTTTCAAAGAAAAAAAAACACAAAACCCCAAGGAAGATTTTTGGAAAAAACACCTTTGGTTAGGTCTAATATCATTAAAGTATGCATTTAATATTACAGGTCTTAACAGCCGTGAGCATTATTTTTGCACAATATTGAAAAAAAAATGAAGGTATACCACAAGATGAAGAGATAGTCAAGAAGATACTAGATTGAGCAGAAATGGATAGATTGACATTGAAAATTAAGCAGAAAGAGAATGTAGAATATTATCAAACATGGAATTTGTTTTACTAATGGTTGGAAAAAAAGGAAGTGGAGACTTAGAATATGATTTGCATTGTTAAGCAAATGAAATATGCAAAGAACATGATGTTTATTAAGCACTAAGAAATATATTTAATAGAAAACCAATAAAATCAATTTAAAAAGGAAAAGCACCTTTGATGCTGAAATATCTCTCTGGGCTTATACACACATACTCCATTCTTTAACAGGGACTAGAATTTCTATTGCTAAACAAGTAAGATGTTCAGTGAATTGGGGCCGATTTTAGGATGCATTTTTTTACATCGTTGTTAAGCAATTCACTGCAATTGTTAAAGGAATCATGTCATCATGAAGCCAATCCTGGCTTCCTGTTGGCTTTGCTTATCAGAAGCCAGTTGGGAAAGTTGCAAATGGTGATTTGCAGCTTTATGTCAGTCTCCAAGTGCCCAAATTTGACCGAGTGATGGTGGGGATGCTGCAATGGTTGTTAGTGCATGGACCAGTGGTAAATCCCTTCCCCCACCCCAGTGTCATTGTAACTTCAACCAATCACTAAACAAATGGTAATAAGCTGAGGATAAACCTCACACGTCTCCTTGTCTCCTTACAACGGCTCCTGTTAGATGACAACATACTTAAAAGTTCTGAGAGTTGAAATCCACACATCTTAAAGCTGCCAAAGTTGAGAAATGCAGATCTGGAAAATAGCAGACTACAAAAATTGCTATAGTGACTGTTCAACTCTTTTCAGGTCCTTAACTTCATCTGGCTTTTCTATTTCTATTAAATGTAGGTGTAGTCCTTGAGTCATAGTTTTAAATATATATACTCTGGAGAAAGCATCCAAACAAATAAATCCTGAGCTTTCTACCCTTTGGACAGAATTTGGCTGAAACTCCTAGGAAATGCCATCCTAGGTAGCTTCTGCCTCATTCCGTTCCTGCCCTTTTTGCTGGAATTCTACCTGCAGAGGGAGGAATGGACATGGCACAGACATCAAAGGGCATTTTTACCATCTCTCGGGGATTGTTGGGGCTTTGTCCTGTTCCTGCAGCCCAACTCATCCGCTGGAAGGGCAGGGCAACCTTTTGAGAGTTGCTGGGGTCAAAGACGGGGTCTCCTTGAGGGATCTCCAGGTTGAGGAATTCAGCCGGGCAGCCCGGATTGTTGGCTTCTGAAATCTCGGCCAGCACGTGGAAACCTGCCAGATACCCCAAACCAGGAAGGTTAGAGAATTGAATTGCAATGGAGAAATGAATTGCAATAAGAGAAAGGAAGGAAGGAAGGAAGGAAGGAAGGAAGGAAGGAAGGAAGGAAG